GCTCTCTGTTCTTCACTGTGCTTCCTACAGAGTGGACAGAAGAAAACTAGATTTATAAAAGAAAACCAAGGAGAACTGTGTTTCCCAGGGTTTACCTCTACTCCCCAGGACAAGCATTACTACCTTTTCTTCACTGAGGGAAGAAAAGAAAAACCACTTAAATATTAAAAGGATCTGACCTATCTGATCACATTTATCTTTAGGCAAACTAAAGTAGTTCTGAAATCTTTTTTCTTTTTTAATGTAGAGAATTTTCATAAGAGTATATCTGAGTCAACCTGATAACACATGCCAGGGAGCGAAATCTCAAATGCTCCCCTGAAATCGTTCTAATAAAAGGACCAAGCATTCTGACAAGCATTCCTGTGATTCTAAAACCTTCCATTCCAAACTCTTAGAGGCTCAAAAAGGAAGCTTCTTTACCACACAGATCTGGTGCCTAGAACTTACTCTGCAAGCAACACAGGCCTTCTCATGGTCAGGAGCCATCCTGAGAGCCTGTACAAAAAACTGAACCGCCTTCTCAATACAATCTTCATAATAAAGGCAAAGACCTCGTACATACAGAGCATCCGCATTGGTGGAGTCCATTCGTAAAATGTCACTGCAATAGCAAGAAAGAAGGCACATTTAGCTGTGGTTTGGATTTCCCCACCATTACTATTTTATTTGTGGGTTTTTTCCTTGACCACGTGTCTAACATGGACGTATCCAAAGTAGACAGATTCCCAAGAATTTTTCCCAAACAAACCACATACATGCCTCACAATCTTTACTAAAATAGGGGTTAGCAAACTACAGCCCACAGGACCAAATCCTGTCTGTCACCAGTTTTTGTATATAAAATTTGATTGACACCAAGCCACATCATTCATTAATCTACTCTCTATGGCCGCTTTTGCACTACACAGGCAGAATTGAACAATTGCAACAGAGACCACATAGCTTGCAAAGCTTGAAATATTTATTATATTTAGAGTATTTGCAAACCCCTGGAATAGACAGAAAAGGACATTTAAAAAATAAAAACCATGCCCTGCCCGGTGTGGCTCAGTTGGTTGAGGGTTGTTCCATGCACCAAGAGGTCATCGGTTCAATTCCCGGTCAGGGAAATGCCCAGGTTGTGGGCTCAATCCCCAGTAGGGGGCGTGCAGGAGGCAGCCAGTCAATGTTTCTTTCTCTCCCTCTCCCGTCCTATCTCTAAAATCAATTCAAACATTAAAGAAATACAAATAAAAACTAAACAAATTCCCACATCTGTTCTTTCATATATAGCTTAAGTACTTACTATACTCCTATATTCCTTATGGGTTTTCAAATTTAGTCTAATATTTGGTTTTAAGTCCCAGGAAGGTCTGGTCAGCCCTAGCTGGCCTACCTACAAGACACACGGTAGCTACTGCTGTAGAATCTGACTTTTCAATGCAGAACTGGCCTGAATTCATACCTAGCCACAGACTGTGCTTCTGGATAACGACCCAGCATTGCTAAACATTCTGCTTTGAGGATTTTGAAGCGATGGCAAGCAGGGGCAAATTCTAGTGCACGATCCATGCAGAAAACCACCTACAGGGAGGAAGAAAGCAAATAAAGTTCTTCATCCTGGACTCCAGAAACGTCTTCATGTTAGTTTTGTCACAGGTAATAGATTCAAAGGAGAGTAATATCAGTTTAAGAACATACCTAATTCATTTGATTAAAGCACTGAAATAAGGAAAGCAGTTGATCCAGATGATAACGGTGACAGCAAATATGTAACAGTACTTTGTATATTAACTCACTTGATGCTCACACAATTTTATAAAGTAGGTAATATTATTACCCTTATTTTACTGATGAAAATACTAAAGCACAGGGATTAAATAACTTGTTCAAGGTGACCAACAGAAACAGGATTTGATCTTAAACACTAAGACTCCAGAGCCTATAACCTTAATCACCATGCTAAGCTACCTTCACAGTGAAGCATATCCACAATGACTATGATCAAAAACTCAAATTCTTCTAATGTAGAAACTGTTACTTGATACTTTGCATAGTTCATCATGTTTAGCCTTGTAAGACAAGAAGAACTAAAAAAAACCTGGTACGGAATCATTGCTATGTTATTAAAATTGCTCACAGTTCTCTCCTCCCTGTGTCAGGAACCTCAAATCTCAGAGTTCCATGGTGACCACTCTTCCACTTTTATTTTAGTAGAGAAATATGCCAATAAAACAATTCATTTACAATGGTCAGAAACCAAAAGACAAGTATCTCCCCCGCCCCCACGCCCAAACACATACACTCGCATACAGCTGGGATTAGTTCCCTCTTTCAGTTTCATAAAGGCTCTCTGTATATTTCTATTTTTTCTTTTTAGAAGTTTGTTCTCCAAGCTTTCATTTTTTGGTTTAGCTGCTATTCCTGGGAGATCCTTGCTCAATCACATTCTCCTCCAAGAATAACTGACCCAAAGGCAAAGTCTGGAGTTAAGGGTTACCCATTCCCTCTAATAATCTGGCCATAGGGATCAGAAAGAGATGAAGTTTGAAAACTCAAAGCAGCAATAACTCAAATTCCACAAACAGGAGACTAGTTAGATAATGCAGACCTTCATATAATGGAATACGATGTGGCTCTAAAATAGAACGAAGTTCTCCATGTATTAATATGGAAAGACTTCCAAGATCTAGTAAATGGTATAGAACCATGTAGAGCATATTACCTTTTATACCAAAAAAAGAAAGAAAATTAAGAGTCTATATTTGTATTTGCTTACATATGTAAAACAAAATTATGGAAGTAAATAGAACAGTGGTTCCCAACCTTCTGGCCCTTTAAATACAGTTCCTCATGTTGTGACCCAACCTAAAATTATTTTCGTTGCTATTTCATAACTGTAATGTTACTACTGTTATGAATCACAATGTAAATATCTGATATGCAGGATGGTCTTAGGCGACCCCTGTGAAAGGGTCGTTCGACTGCCAAAGGGGTCACGACCCACAGGTTGAGAACCGCTGAAATAGAACAAACAAGAATAGTGGCTACTATGGTGTGAGATCGAGGCAGGTGGAGGATAAGTTGGGGAAACACTTAACACTGAATATATTTATACTGTCTAGCTTTTAAACCACAAGAACCACCCGCTTGAAAATTAAATGTAAAAGTATGGGGAAGTAGATAAACACCATGAGCTGCTGCACTGGGAAGACTTTCTGCAGTATTAAAAGAGTAGTGGTAGAGATGCCTCTCCTTCAATGGCACAGGTTACTTCCTGGAAGTTCTAAGGACAATATGAAAATTCAGGTATTATGCAGGCAGAGTCATGGTATTAATTTTTCCTCTTTAAATGGAAAAAGAATGGGGGTGGGGGTAGGGGTGGGGAGCAGTCAGTCAACATTTCAGGAGCCACACCCTGTTGCTTTCACAAGGTTCTGTATGGAGATGGTTCTGTCATCATGGGGAGTGTCAGAGGCTCCGTGCTTCACTTCCCACCCCCATCTCCCTATGACTAGGGACAGCTGCAAGCAAAGAAGATCTTTGTTTCTTCTAACTTCATCTGTTCCCCCAGCCAAGATCATAATTCTTCATTTGTGACATCACCATGAGCTACAGTGGCGGGGGCTGGGATGTCACAAACAGAGGATTCTATCATAAAGTGGGGATTCTGGTTCCAGAGCGGGCAAGGGAGAAATGAAACCCAAAGGCCGCCTTTTGAGAGAAAGTTTTTGTCCACGTAAACCTCAGAAAACATGACAAGATGCAGAAGTGCTTTCCAAACATACACACACAAAACCAAATTTAAAAAAGAATGCACGTATAAATCACACTACAAAGTTACTGTGGTTATTAAAACCAATGGATAGAAGAGGGATGCTAAATAAGTTAATGCTGGGACTCTCCATAAGCTAATCAGGTATATACGTATTACCAAATAAAAGACCTTAACAGTGTATGACTTGAGAACAATTCTTCAAGTGAAACCTATATGTTCATGTTGATCAATGTCACCCCAATAAATTTAATTAAAGTAATAATAATAAAAAACAACCAAAAGAATAATTCTTAACTGTACACTTTTGTCAAACATTTATTGAGTATCTGTTGCAGAAAGCTCCAAGCGAATTCCGACATATAAAGCAACAACTCCGTTCCTTGGATGGTACTCATAAACTTCCTTTAAGTGATCTGAAAATCAATCCTGATCAATGTTTTTTAACCTTTTTGGGAGCCCTTAATCTCCTCTTTTGAAAGTCTAGTGAAAGCTACTTCTGAGTACCATCTAAAGAAGGGGGTTAGGAATTATTATACAGATGAGGCGTAACTACTGCAGCACCTAGAAAGATACCTAGAGCTTTTGTACTTTTCCCATGTTTCAGATTTGTCAACCCCTTTGGATTTAAATTTCCATGAACTATCACACAGCTCCATAAAGGGCAGTAGTGTGCTTTTGTAGAAAGGCCTAACATCAAAAAGGTAGTGATGTCAGGTTACATACACTATTCAAAATGTAAAAGGGCCTCTCTCTAGTTTTGATTTCTAGCTCCATCAAGCTCCCATAAAGCAGGTGTTAAAACTAGCTCTTGCCCTAACCGGTTTGGCTCAGTGGATAGAGCGTCGAACTGCGGACTGGGGGGTCCTGGGTTCGATTCCGGTCAAGGGCATGTACCTTGATTGCGGGCACATCCCCAGTAGCGGGTATGCAAGAGGCAAATGATTGATGTTTCTCTCTCACTGATGTTTCTAACTCTCTATCCCTCTCCCTTCCTCTCATTGATGTTTCTAACTCTCTATCCCTCTCCCTTCCTCTCTGTAAAAAATCAATAAAATATATTAAAAAAAACACACACAAAAAAAAAACAACTAGCTCTCATTATTAAAATAAAAATAGACGCCAGCAGGTGTGGCTCAGTGGTTGAGCATCAACCTATGAACCAGGAGGTCACAGTTCGATTCCCAGTCACGGCACAGATCCAGGTTGTGGGCTCGATCCCTGGTGTGGGATGTGCAGAAGGCGGCCAATCAATTAAATGATTCTCTCTCATCACTGATGTTTCTCTCTCTTTGTCCCTCTCCCTTCCTCTCTGAAATCAATAAAAATGTATTAAAAAAATAGATTATTTGCCCTGACTGGTTTGGCTCAGTGGATTGAGTGTTGGCCTGTGGACTGAAGGGTCCCAGGTTCGATTCCGGTCAAGGGCATGTACCTTGGTTGCGGGCACATCCCCAGTAGGGGGTGTGCAGGAGGCAGCTGATCGATGTTTCTCTCTCATCGATGTTTCTAACTCTCTATCCCTCTCCCTTCCTCTCTGTAAAAAATCAATAAAATATATTTTTTAAAAAATAGATTATCCAAACACAGTATTTACTAGTAATTCCAACTGGCTTTTCCTTTTTTTCCTAAAAGAACATTTTTAGACCACTATCTTATATAAAAAACAGGAACTCGTGTAACAAATTCATTTTGCTTTTTATCATCATAAAGCCAAATATAATTAACAAAAAAGTACTTTAGTAAAAAATAATTTTAAATGCCAGTGATGATGTGGAGCAATAGGAACTCTCATTCATTGCTGGTGAAAATGCAAAATGGTATAGCCACTTTGGAAGACATTTTGGCAGTTTATTGTAAAACTAAATATATTTTTATATAATCCAGCAATTACACTTCTTAAATTTACCCAAAGGAGTTGAAAAATGTCCATACAAAAATCTGCACATGGATGTTTATAGAAGCTTTATTCATAATTGCCAAAAACCTGGTTGTAACAATGTACCTCCAGTGGGGATGCTGACAAGGGGGGAGGCAGTGAGCATAAGAGAAATCTCTGTACCTTCTTCCTGATTATTCTGTGAATCTACAACTGTTCTAAAAGAAAGGATGTCTTAAAAAAAGAAAGAAAATAAAATTTTAAATTAAATTTACTATTCTAGATCTTCTGTACTATGCTACTACTCCTCTTAATTCTCTCTCTCTCTCTCTCTCTCTCACACACACACACACACACACAACTTTGTGAGGAAAGAATAAGATTTCCTTATAGTTGTACTTTACCTTCCGAAAATCCCGCTTCTCAAAATCCGTTTCTGCTATTTTCTCATATTCTATGACTGCGTTAGCATTCTTGAACTACACCAGAAAATCAGATAAGGGAGAGTTTTAATGAAGTTGTAGATTCAACCACCACAAAAATCAATAAGACTGATGAATGTGTTATTTCAAGAAAATCAGAACCACAGACTTTTCACAAATCAAGTTGGTGAAGATACAGCCAAACACCTTAACAGAAAGGTCAACGCCCTAATCTTACCCTCAATTTGATCTTAGAAACTCAAGAATACAAGAATCATGCCATGATATACTAGTAAACAAAATAAAGGCAAGGCATTGTCAGGGACTGAGCAAAAAAAACCTTGCAGATTCTCACTAAAATACATCCATGGGTAAACTGAGCATATATGGAGACGGCAATAAAACATGTTTCAGCCACCAATTTAATCAGGATTTGAATTTACTAAATTCTTTTTCTAAAATACGTTTTCTTAATTAATTTTAGGGGGGTGGGGGGGAGAGAAACATCGATTGGCTGCCTCCTGCACGCCCTCTACTGTGGATTGAGCCTGAAAAACAGGTCTGTGCCCTGACCAGGAATCGAGCCAGTGACCTCTTGGTTTATGGGTCGACTCTCAACCACTAAGCCACACTGGTTAGGCTAAATTTACTAAATTCTTTAGCCTCGCTCAAATCAGTTCTTTGATGCATCTGTCTATTCCCTTAGCAATCTTGGAAACCCTCTAATTTGCACAGATTTCTAAAGCTGTAAATCATATTCAAAACTCCTTTGAGCCAGGCCAGTATGGCTCAAGAAGTCCCTGGTTCGATCCCAGTGAGGGCACATGCCCAGATTGCAGGCTCGATCCCAGTAGGGGGCATGCTGGAGGCAGTAATCAATGATTCTCTCTCATCACTGATGTTTCTATCTCTCCCTCTCCCATTCCTCTCTAAATTCAATAAAATTAAAAAAAAAAAAAACCCACAAAAAAAACACAAAACACTCCCTTGACAGATTAAGAAGCTGAGGCTCAAAGAAACTATGAGACTTGCCTACAGTCACCCAGGTGTGGCTGATAACAGAAGTGAGACTAGATGTCAGTTCTGACTCTCAAGTCAATATTCCTTGCCTTTTTGATACAGATAGGATCAGACCCGTACCTCCTGTTGTGCCTGAGCATTTTTGTGATCCAATTCTAGGGCTCTCTGGAAACTGCGACAGGCTGCCATGGCATTCCCTAAAGATAGGTGGCATTTGCCTTCTCGTAGATGTCCCTAGAAGAAACACAAAGGACAACAAGGAGCATGAGTGGCCAAGCAGACAGAAATCAACAGCAGCAACAAACACTCACACAAAACCAACATGGGCCCTAACCGATTTGGCTCAGTGGATAGAGCGTTGGCCATCGGACTGAAGGGTCCCAGGTTCAATTCCGGTCAAGGGCATGTACCTCGGTTGCGGGCACATCCCCAGTAGGGGGTGTACAGGAGGCAGCTGATCGATGTTTCTCTCTCATTGATGTTTCTAACTCTGTCCCTCTCCTTTCCTCTCTGTAAAAACATCAATAATATACGTGTTGGTGAGTGTGAGTGTGAGTGTGTGAGTGTGTGTGTGTGTGTGTGTGTGTATATATAAACCCAACATGGGATGAAAATGGCTGGAGAAGTGGTTCTCAACCAGGGCTGATTCTGCATTCCATGGGACAGTCAGCAATGTCAGAGACATTTTTGATTGTTATAGCTGGGCAGGGAAGGGGTGCTACTGATACCTTAAAGGCCAGGGATGCTGCTAAACATCCTACAATGCACAGGATACAACCTCACAACAAAGAATTATCTGGCCCAAAATATCAAGAGTGTTAACACCGAAAACCCCTCGGCTAGAAGTCAACTGCAGCAACTCAGTCCTCCCCAAAGAGCCCATTACATACCCGGACGAAACTGTCATCCAACCTCACTGACTGCTGTGCATCTCCAAGAGCTTCCCGGAACCTTCCAAGCATCATCAAGGTGGCTGCTCGATTCCCATAATAGCTAGCATTTTTAGGACACATATCTACAGGAAAGGAAGGAGGTAAAACAAGGTTTAGAATGGGTCATTGCTCCAAAAACTCAAGGGCCATCTCCCTCAGAACTATAATAGGAATGATGACACTCTTTAAAAAGCCACCATCAAATTTTTGACTACCTGTGCAAATGGATAGCAGCAATGGTGCAATTTAAAAATAAAACACGGCATTAAACTTAGCTTTAAAGTGCATTAATTATCTTTTGGAATAGGGGTCAGCATATTTATCTTCTTACTGGACTGTGTTTTATATAACTAGATATGAAAACGAATTTGCATCTGTTTAGCTGGGGATGGGAAACCTGTAAAGCAAGTTAGGTAAGAAAAATGCTAGCATGGGATTAAAATATGTTGACAAATTGAGGATGGAGGTAACTAAGACCTGACAATGTTCAGAAAGGCAATGACTGAAATGCATTTAGGTGGGCATCTTTTTGCCATAACATTTAGAATTTCTGGAGTTGCTTTTAATTTTCCAGAAGAACTACCATCCACTTAAGTTAGAAAAAGTAATTTCCGCCTGGCCAGTGTGGGTCAGTGGTTGAGCATCACCCCAAGAACTAAGAGGTCCCCGGTTCAATTCCTGGTCAGGATACATGCCCAGGTTGCGGACTTGATCCAGTAGAGGGCGTGCAGGAGGCAGCCAATTGATGTTTCTCTCTCATTGATGTTTCTATCTCTTTATCCCTCTCCCTCCCTTCTCTCTAAAAATCAATAAAAACATTAAAAAAAAAAAAGTAATTCCCTCGTGAGGCCATTAAGCTTGAATATATGCTACTTCTTAGAGAGGAACTATTTATAACAGTATTTAGCAAATTATTTTCCAGCATAAGCACTAGGTTCATCTCACCTATGGCTTTTGTATAATAGTTATAAGCTTCATTGTAATCTTTCTTGGCATAGTATGCATTTCCTTGTTCCTTGAAAGACTCTGCTTCCCTGAAAAGGAGAGAAAGAGAATCATGTTACTCTCTACACCAGTGATGGTGAACCTTTTGAGCTCGGCGTGTCAGCATTTTGAAAAACCCTAACTTAACTCTGGTGCCGTGTCACATATAGAAATTTTTTGATATTTGCAACCATAGTAAAACAAAGACTTATATTTTTGATATTTATTTTATATATTTAAATGCCATTTAACAAAGAAAAATCATCCAAAAAAATGAGTTCGCGTGTCAGAGTTGTCATAGGTTCGCCATCGCTGCTCTATACCTAGGCAATCACCTCTTTATTCGCATAGGAGCAATCTTTGGTCTAGAGCCCCTGCCTGGCAAATTGAGCTGAAAGTTAGTGTGACACTTGAAGGAATTTACAGATTTGTTCAATTGGCTGAGGTTCAAAAGAAGGTGCTAATGAAGGAATCAATGGTCTTCAGATGTTATTTTTTGTCACTTAGATACATTTAAACTAAGAAAACCTCTCTCATGCCACCTGCCTTGCCTCACTACTTCCACCCGAAGTCACTGTCCTTTTGACAGGCAAATTTAGACACAGAAACTGAATCTTTATATATTTACTTCCTTTCCATTGTGTCCCAACTGCTGCCACTTTAGTGAACTTACAAAAAAATAAGCTAAAGCCCTAACTGGTTTGGCTCAGTGGATACAGCGTTGGCCTGCGGACTCAAGATTCCGGTCAAGAGCATGTACCTTGGTTGCGGGCACATACCCAGTAGGGAGTGTGCAGGAGGCAGCTGATCGATGTTTCTCTCTCATCGATGTTTCTAACTCTCTATCTCTCTCCCTTCCTCTCTGTAAAAAATCAATAAAATATATTTTTTTAAAAAGTGAGCTACAGATAATTTCATTCAGGGCAACTGATTTCTCAATGTAAAGTGGGTCATATCCTTAGAATTTTAACGATTTACTATCGTGAAAAGTGGCTCATGCATTTATCACTGGAAGGACAAGCAGAGCAAAAGCAGAAGGCAAAGGAGTTAAAAGCACAGCATATTGGTGTTTAAGAAAGAAAGCAGAGTGACAGCAAAGACCAAGAACTTGGATGACAGGGACATATGAGGTATAGGCTGCAATGCCATGCTCTAAAAACCCATCTTCCAGTGTTCCCTCTGCCCATCACGTACTTTCTGCCCCCTCTATTATTATATCCCTGTAGTACCTTGTATAACCACCAAGTGGGTAATAGCAGAATTTCTGCCCTAACCCAAGATACATTTTTTAAAAATATATTTTATTCATTTTTTTTTACAGAGAGGAAAAGAGAGAGATACAGAGCTAGAAAGATCGATGAGAGAGAAACATTGATCAGCTGCCTCCTGCACATCTCCTACTGGGGATGTGCCCGCAACCCAGGTACATGCCCTTGACCGGAATCAAACCTGGGACCCCTCAGTCCGCAGGCTGACGCTCTATCCACTGAGCCAGACCGGTTTCGGCTCAAGATACATTTTTTTTTGAAGCTGTGCCATTAGACAAACTTTCTAACTTTATTCTCGGGCCATACAAACGTATCAACTTAAAAATTAGCCTGCCCACAGGCGGCCCAGTGGTTGAGCATCAGACCTATGAACCAGGTCATGGTTCGATTCCCAGTCAGGGTACATGCCCTGGTTGTGGACTTGATCCCCAGTAGAGGGTGTGCAGAAGGCAGTCGATCAATGATTCTCACTCATCATTGATGTTTCTATCTCTCTTTCCCTTCCTCTCTGAAATCAATAAAGATATATTTTTAAAAAATTAGCCTGTTATAGCCCTAGCTGGGTTACTCAGTGGTTAGAGCACTGGCCTGCGGACTAGCCTTCGGTCAAGGGCACATGCCTGGATTGCTGGCTCGATCCCCCAACTGGGGGCTTGCAGGAAACAGCCAACCAATGATTCTCTCTCATCACTGATGTTTCTCTCTCTCTCTCCTTCCCTTTGAAATCAATAAAAACATATTAAAAGTCCGAAAAAAAAAATTAGCCTGCTATGTTTGGTCAAACATTTAATTAACTCACCCCTAATGCCTTGGCAGGGCCAGACCAAATGATTTCAAGGTCCTTATATGGCCTATGGGCCAGATGTCCCCCACCCATCTTAAAGGCACAAACTAGTAACCTCTATCAAAGATACCCAAAATCATTCCACTGACCAACTTGAATGACAAAGATACATTCTTTGTCAAAATGATTACCACAATATTACTAAAAAATCTGAGCATTTTTGTTATAAGGAAGAGTCTTTGTTTCTTTTCTTATCCTCCAGATATGTAAAAACAAACTGAGTTTAAGGGTTGCCTGAAGTGAGGAAAGAAGTACATAGTTCTTAACCTTGTAATGGCCTGGGAGTTTACAGCTTGACTGGATGAATACTGGCATTGGGGAGATTTGTGATTTATTTATGTATGTATTTTAAACTACAAACTGGCAAAGCTGCCCTCCTTTTACTGAGGTGATCTCCCTTTCCATTCTTCTCCATGACTGTCCTGGCAAGTTCTACAAATATGAAAAAGTGCTAGAAGAAAGCATAATGGGAATGACCTAAAATGCTAAAAAGAATTTAATTGTGATGGACATAAATCTGTTTTGAGTAATTTTTTAAAATATATTTTATTGATTTTCTACAGAGAGGAGGGGAGAGGAATAGAGTTAGAAACATCGATGAGTGAGAAACATCGATCAGCTGCCTCCTGCACACCCCCCACTGGGGATGTGCCCGCAACCAAGGCACATGCCCCTGACCGGAATCGAACCTGGGACCTTTCAGTCTGCAGTGTGACGCTCTATCCATTGAGCCAAACCATTTAGGGCTTGAGTAATTTTTTTATATCAACTGTCACAATGTATAAAGAAGCCATGTGCTGTTGAAAGTCCTCAAGAAGGATCCCCCAACTGCAAGACTGTGGGACCGACGGCAATCTTTCTACATGGTGTGCACCATCCTATAACTCTCAGTGAACCAAGGCACTACATAAAAACTAGGAGGAGCCTATCCCGTCAGAGCAGACATGCCAAGAGAGTCGAAGAAAGGGCTTCCCCAACACTGGATTTCAGAAGTTGAGTCAAATTCCTGTGAAGAAATGAGTAGTAAATTCAAAGGAAACATCAGGTCCAAAATCATGCCCAAAAAGACCTAGCCGTTTCTTCAGCTGGCTAGTGGCTGAGGATACACAAATTCTTGAGGAAAACCGAAGGCATCTAAGCACTTGGATAGACGTGTCAACAGTATAAAGCTTGCCAGTCAAAGGTGAAACAATCTGTAGAGCTACTGCAAGGTGGCCTTTCAGGAAACACTAATCCCACGGAGGCTAGCAAGTTCAGCGAGGGCTTCTAGTAAAAATGCAAAGGGTGATTTCTGTGGAAGATTAGTAATAATCATTGAGGCCAGGTACTTTCCATACATTATTCCCATTTTTCAAAGGAGGAAATAAGGTTTAGAGGGAGAAAATTGGCCCAAGGTCAGGCTGTCAACCCACACCTGTCAGATTCCAAAGCTCTGCACTCTGTACCCTGCTATGCTTTCTCTCTCATGTTCACCTCTATCTATTGCCTAAGACTTAAAAGTTAATCTGTACTTCCAGGAACAAGACATGGGCAATGAACATGAATTTCTTTAAACTAAGACAAAAAACAGCCCAGCGTATAAAACCCAACTCCAGAACTGCAACCTGCATTTAAATAAGCAAAATGACATTCTAACAATTAGTCATAGAGAGAGCAGGGCTCCTTTAAGATGCGAGACCTAGTGAACTGGACTTCGCCTCCCCCAAGAAATGCATTTCATTTTAGTAAATGGTGAGTAGATTCCATTCTAGAGCAAACAAAGCGAGTAATGTAGAGTCAGCCCACAGCAAAAAGAACAAGAATTGTGTTGTGACAAGTTACCATGTTTTTAACCTCACACGGCACAGCGTCAGGGCAGAATTAGCTATTCCCACACAATTGCCTCATGAAAAGGACTTATTTTCATAGAAACATGGTTGATTAACAGCTGCCTAAACAATGGCACTTGGTGCTGCTTTTAGACTGAATGCTTATTTTTTGCCTCCAGGTCCAATGCCCAAAGTGGAGTACCTCTCCATTTTGGTCCTCCCCACCAAATACATGACAAGCTTTAACCAACGGGCCTGACCCTGCGAGACCAGCCAAGGAAAGAGTGGATCTTTGGAATCCAGCATGGCAGCAGCAAGAACTGAACAAGGCTGCATCAGGAACAATTCCAGGGTCAAATCCATTCAAATCCTGCCCTGGGAGTCTGAGAAGGGGTTGAACTTGTTCAAGTTGCCCTTACAGCAAAGGGACTGAAGGATGAGATGTCAAAGGCGTGGGACTGGAAAAGAAGGAGAAGAGCTGGTTAACACTGGAATTGAGGGCAATCTGGAGGTGGCATCTGTCACTCCACTCACTGCCAACGTCAACTCATTTGATAAGCAAGTGAGATAAACACATACCTATTAAAACACATCAGTACCGAGAAAGGAAGAATTAGGATTAACTGCATTCACCAGGACAATCTAAAAAAAGGAAAGGACTCCAAAAGGGACTACATTAAACTACAAATTATCTTTTATGTCCACAAAATAAAACTCAGACTAAACCCTGAAATATAATACCCCAGCAAAATATAGACTTGGCCATAACTGACCTGATGGACTATTAACAGCTGTGCTCTATTTCTAGTATTTTTTCAGATTTTCAAAGGATTTCCAATGAAGATCTTTGAAATGGCCTTCTCAAGTGGTTATGATGATAATATCATGTGTCTCCCAACACAGGAAGAGCAACGGAGGCACCCAAGGGGAACGCACAGGTTTCCTAACTCCTGGAGTCCTATATTTTTTCCCTCCAGATCTTGCTGGTTTCGAGATTTTTAGATTAAAACTAATTTATCTAGTTCCCTACCCAATCCTTGAGTCAACTCTAAGCAGAATAAGCTTCACTTCTCTGATTTTCCAAGAGATGCTGGAAATGACTTTACCTCCCCTCCACCAAATCAATTCTT